ATTATTGACAGGTTGACTAAGACTGTCCATTTTCTACTAATCAGAACCACAGATTACACCAATAGAGTAGTTCACCTGTACATTGATGAGATTGTTTGACTCTACGGCTCCCCCCGTCGATTGTGTCCAGCTGAGATCCTCGATTTACCTCCTATTTTTGGGACAAATTTTAAGAAGCACTTGGTTTGGGATTATACTTCAGCACTGCTTATCATCAAAAGTCGATGACTAGTCTGAACGTACTATCCAGATACTGGAAGACATGTTGTGCAGTAACGTCCTTGACTTTAGCGATAACTGGTATGAGTATTTTCTCTTGTATGAATTTGCTTATAATAACGGTTATTATTCTAGCATCAGCGTGGCTCCGTATGAAGCCCTGTATGGTACGATTACTGTTCTCCCATTTATTAAAATGAAGTCAGGAACCATCGTTGTTTAGGACCTGATTTTATCCTGGAGACTATCGAAAAAGTTGCTATCATTCGAAGAAGTTTAGCCACTGTCTAAAGTCACCAGAAAAGTTATTCCGATAACCATAGAAGACCCTTGGAATTTGTTGTTGGCAATCAAGTCTTCCTTAAGATATTCTGTTACAAGGGAAAAATGTGATTTGGTAAAAAAGAAAAGTTTACCCGTTATGTGGGACCTTTTCAGATCATGGAATGTGTTGGACCTGTGGTATACCACATTGCTCTACTCCGAGAATTTGTAGGTTTATATGATGTTTTCCATGTATCTATGCTCAAAAGGTACCATCCTTACCCTTTCCACATCATTCCTCACCAAGAGATACAGGTTCAAGCTGATATGACGTACGAAGAGCTCCCCACGACGCTCGCACAGGCTCCGCTTACCACACACAACTAACGCAGGATGTGCACACTGTGGGTATGTCTAGTTTGTGTAGGACACAAGGTGCAATCTAGCTAAGTATATGGAACTCATTTTTTTCCATGCTCCCCCTCCAGATGAGGAAGATAGTAAGGAATAGATCGTTGACCTATCCCTTAAAGTTTTTGAAGATCCCTTGGATTCATAAACTTTTATGAGTGCATGACCTGTCCTGCACCCTGATGAGTCTATTTACATAATGATAGAAGTGTCTTTTTATATTTTGTCGCTACTTCTGGTCTCAGATATATATATATATATATATAATTAGGAACTCATATATTTTATAAGGGATATGTAATTATTTGTTCAATATGTACTTGTAATCTATTTCTGTATCTGGCACTCATATGTCTTAATTAATATTTGGAATGTCACATTGGGAGGTGGTCGATTTACCTAAATGATGCAAAGCCGTTGTGATGTGATCTTGTTGGATAGCTAAAAATTAGTTTCAAAGATGCAATTCTACATTAAAGAGGAACCTCATAAAAATCCAAGCTCTTGCAAAATAATTACTCGCAAGTTAGTTGCAGCATGAGGTCATGCTCATATAACATAATGGACATGGACATGCACATGCAGGTCTCGCAAGTCCAGTCCCAAATAGGCAAGTAAGTCCATAATTTCTTTATTTCCTAAATGGGATTGGCTCAAACGAAAAGTAACTTTCAGTTTCCTAAATAGGAACACCCTGAACAGGAAAGTAAGTTTTAGTTTCTTAAACGAAAACGCCCTGAACATGAAAATAAATTCTAATTTCCTAAATTGGGACATCCTAAAAGGAAAATAATTACATCCCTGACTAGTTTCCTAAATAGGATTATTCCAAAGAGTGAGCTAAGTTGGTCCAAATGAAACTTGAAGTCGATGTAATGCTTTATGGGCTTGGAGAAATTATAAGGGTAAGACGAAAATCTAATTTATGGCCCAACCAAAGGTGGCCTAAAGATCTCATGGCCAAAATGGGCTAAGGCCCAAAAGAGATCCATGAACGAACGTGTCACTCATGTGACCCCTTTGGCACAAGTGCAGACCGACCCTCACATGTGTGGGAATGCCCGCCCACACATGCGGGAGCCTCACCCACGTGAGGAAGCATGCGAGGCATATGGCTAAACCAACCTACATGCCTACGCGAACTAACATGTGCACGATACATGTAGCATGGATGTGGTAAGTGCATGCGTGCAAGCGGCTGGTTCACATGCAGTAACCCACACGCGCAAAACCCACACCCACAAAGGAGATCTGTGCAGCCCAACCTGCTCAGTCAGGCAACCCACAGCCTAACCCCTACGACTCGTGGCTTGATCCGTGCTCCAAACTGCTAATCCAAGTGGTTGTTCTTCCTAATCCTTTTTGGACTCCAAAATCCCATTTTTCGTATTTTTACAAGGTGTCCAAGCTTCCATAATTTTTCCATGTGCAAAATATGTTAATTATGAAGGTCTAATTCTACTCAAGATTGAAAGGAAGATATCCTTAAAAGAACTAAGAAGAGGGAACTATTATTTAATATTATTTTATTAATATTTTAATATAAGCTTTATCCATATGATTAATTAATTATTATTTAGAAAAGGATAATTATTTATTTTATGTATTTAAATTCAAATTAGGATAAATTTTATTATTTAAATAATTAAGTATTTTTTCAATTAAATTAAAAATTAAAATATGGATAAGAATCCTAAATCCTATTCCGTGTAGAAGTAGTAATTACCAGCCTATATAAAGGTCATATCTCAAACATTGTAAACACATCATCTTGAGAATTAATAAAGTTTAAGCTTTGACATTTTATTAGCCTTGTGCTAACTTTTCTCTATAAGTTCTTCCAAGGTAAGTGAGTTTTTCAAAGTCTTGATTGAGCCGAGAAGTTGGGTTCAACTTGTCGGGTAAGTTTGTGGCATTTTTCTTTTTCTCGTTTTTTTTCCTAGTTTTTATTTTTACATTTCTAATTTTAAAGTTGTGAATTCAACTAGAGGGAAGGATTTTAATTAGGTTATTTGAGTTTTGATATTGCATGCGATTGGGTTGAGGTTCCAAGAGTCAAAACAATCATTCTCATATCCTCCCATGCTACATTAGAAACAAAAGGTTCTCAAAATTAAAAGAA